AAAATCCAGGTAAACAATAGGCGAAAAATAATATATAAGTTGACTATAAAGTGCCTGCTTAAACTTTGATGAGCTTAGACCCATAAACCTCATAATGGTAGCTGCTCTATAAAACAAAATATGCAGCTGGGGGACTTAAGCCCGCCCCTCCGATCCGTGAAAGCAAATTCAATTTGCCGATTCAGACGAACTCTGTGTACACTTTATGGCCAAAAGCCATTCCGAAGCGGTTGTTAAAAACGCGAATTTGTTTTCTTAATCAGTTCGGGCAGCTAAAAAGTTTTAATTAAATTTAAAGTGGAAGTAATTCCCGAAAACGATGCAGGGCTCATTAAATTAAGGCAGCCTGATTTTGTTTCGGGGGAAATATTTTTATTAGCTGGTAATTATTTGCATGATTATATGGCAAGGTACTTAGAAAGCAATTTAACAAGGAAATAATTTAATTGTTTAGAAAGTTAAATGAATCATTTTTGGGTTTTTTGGCAATTATTTTATATTGTTTTCTGAATCAGAATCAGAAAAATATGTGTTTCAGTAGAAATTGTTATCAATTTAGTAGTAAAAATGGGTAATATAATGGAAATGCTTATTAGGAAAAGTTCTTAAATAGTATTTCCCGTTCTTGATAAGTTATCTTGGTAATATTTACCCAAATCTCTTAAAAAGTATCCCATATCTAAGCCCCTGAAAGTGTATCAAATCAAATCAATGCAAATTCGTTTGTTATATTCATATTTAAATCGCTTTAAAATCACATCAAAACCGAATGGCCAATTGAAGTGCTCCGATTCGGTTCCATGCCGCGTTTCCAATACCAATTCGGATGGTCTCGGTTGGCATAAACTCGGTTGTTTATGGGCCTAAGCGGCTTTGACGATCCGTGGCCAAGTGTGCTCCGGTTTTTTTTCCTGTGCCTCCGCATCTCCGCCTGCTTGCGTGACCAACTCTGGTACGATCGGCCATCAGCCATCGGCAATGTCTAATCCATGGCAATTAATTACATCGTTACACGCGCTGCCGCCAAACAACTTAATACAACATAAATAATTGTCAAAATGCTCGGCCACAGACGCGCGAATTAGTCTTCATTATGTCAATAAATCTTGGCCAATTGCCACACCGGATCATGCAACATCCAAAACGGGAGTCTATATATCTTAATGCACCTGTCCCACGCCCAAAATGGTAATTTAAACTGGATCTTTTCTAATTTTCCTATCACTTTATGTTTTCTTTAAGGCAGGAAAAATCAGAATCAAAAATCATCACAGCTTGATATGGATATCTGACGGGAAATGCCAATTGCCTTATTGAATGATTTTATTTTTTATACCGACATACTATATAAGAAGTGGATGCCAAAGTTGGTTGGTCTATGGCCATCTCAAAAGATGATTATGGTCATGACAACTTAATGACGAACGCAGCTCGCAGCCTGGGAACCCGATCCGACCCCGTTGCGGGTACTGAAAATCCTCTGGAAACCCCTCAAGTTGCCTTTCTGGTGACCGAAAAACGAGACCAGAAAAAATTTGCATAAAAATCAGTGGTATATATGTATACCCCACCCCCTCTGCCGCCTTCAGGTGACATTAACAAGCCACAAAAAAGGAAGCAGAAGCAGCCACTGTGATACGGCCAAATTTTAATTAAAAGTTTAGTGGAGCGAGAGACACACGCCAACGACAACAACGACAAAAACGACAACGACAGCAACACAGCAGCAACATCAACACCAAAACCAACCCAAAAGGAACATTGTACTATGGGATGGAATTTGATTTTAAGTTTTAAAAAAGATAATTTTCTGCTCAACGCCTATGCTCTGAGTGATCATTTATTTTTGTAAATGGTCTCGCATATAGTGCTCGCGGAGCTATTACACAAACAATTTTTCGTTTTCTTCTTTCCGCCTCATCCCGTTGCTAACTGTAATATATTTTTTTCTTGTTTCTTCCTTCGTCATCCTCGAACACTTGCACTGGAATTCTTTCCTTATAACTTTTGTTTCCACTTTTGAGTTTATTTCGCTTTTGGCCAGGTCAGTAAAATGAGTGATGAATTGGTTAGCGACAAAAAAAGTAGTTTTCTCTCAGTGCACAGCTGCAGACCAACACCAAGAGTCACTAAATAAGTTCACGCTTGCTTGTATTTGTGTTAGTATATGCTCTGCCGTAAGACGATTTTGAACAGAGCCTATTCTTTTTCAGCACATTCTAAGATTTATGCCAAAAATCCTGCTTTTAGCCCATTGTACTCCTATAGCAAACTGAGATCTTTGGTTCACTGCGACCGCAAAAGGTTGCTGGGGCAGAATGCCGTGCAACAAGTGTCAGGTCGGGCAACATGGCTAACAAGCGTCGCCTGTTCGTCGCCGCCATCCTCGGCTGTCAGCCATACACGCAGCAAAAAAAAAAAGGGAAATAGTACATTAAAAAATGAAACAGGGAACCACGCTGGGGATGAGAGGTGTTAAAGTAAATATGCTAGCGCTTACAACAAATTTTACATGCCGCTGCAATAATTGAAAAATCATGTTGCACACCGAATGTTGCAGCGACCGACCGAGCAACATGTTGCTACATGACTTTGTGCTTAGCCAGAAAACCAGCAAGTAAGGTCAGCGCCGAAAAAACATGAATATTTTTGCAAGAAAATAGGCTGGGAAATGATGGAAAATTTGTGTAGCAGAGTTTTGAGGAATGCGGCAGAAAGGAGTGGTAAAGATATTTTAAAAAGGTAAAGTCGAAAAGGTTGATAAATTTAAGGTAAAAAGAGTGGCAGGGATATATTAGGTATAGGGATATATCGGTATATCAATATTAACCGAATACATAAATCTATTTATATTTAAGTTTATAAGAGTTACCCGATCCTTATAAGTAACTATAGAGCAGGTGCCTTTGACTGCTACTTAACCAAGTTACTATACCTTTATTATCTCAGCCATTCCCTCAAGAGGATTGCGGATGTGCCTCACCAATACGTGGATGGCTCTGCTTTGGCTCAGATTTTTGCCTCGGGAGGATGCCCTAAAAGAATCGCAAACCTCGCCGAGAATCACGTACATAAATAAATAAATACGCAGGCGTTTTACTCGTATGTTTGTATATTCACGCCACAGCGGAAGCTGCAACAGTAGCGGCATCACTAGCAGCAGCAACAGCAGCATTGAAACAACAAACATTCAAGCCGCCACCGCAATGGCAAGTTGTTTCTGTTGTTGTTGTTGATTGTTGGTTTTTGTGGCCAATGCCGCTGCAATTGCCACTGATCGCGTCGATTCAATTAGTAATTCTAAAAAGGCGGCAAGCGACGTCTTTTGCATCTTAATGAGGGTTGCTTGCAGCAGCAGCCGATGCAGCAGCAGCAGCAGCACATGCAGCATGTTGCCGCAGCAATAACATTTGTTCATAACAACAAGAAAACAGAGAGACAGGGCCAGTTTTTCCATCCAATTGCGCCGGCACAGCACTTTTCATGCCCAAATGCAGTTTGTGATTGCTGCTGTGACTGTTGCGGTTGCTGCTGCTACTGTTGCTGCATTGACTATTTTTGTCATCCACGTCCACGCACTGGTCGTGCAACATGTTTGCGCGTTCATCTCCGGCTCCTTGCATTTCCACAGAAAATGTAATTACTGTGATTTAATTTTTTTTCTCCACATTTTCTTCTATTGCTGCCACTGCTGCTGCTGCACTTCACCAGATTGCGACTGCAACTGCTGCTGGCACTGCCATTTCTGAGCGCGCATTACAAACTTGGCTCAAATTAATTCTTCAAGCCCAAATGCGATCTGGCCAAGATGCAGCTAATCAAACTTTAATCAATGCGGCATTTTGATGCGACATTGCTCGTTTCCTTTTTTATTTCCAGCTTGAAGAACTTCCATAAGTGGAACGATGGGAAAATATGCGAGTTGGTTGGCCTGGGAGGAAAATCTGTGTACGGCCAGGCCAAGAAAATTGTTATTAATCTGGAATGGTCCATATGGGGAAATTACCCGATCGTAAACTTGGCTTGCTTATTTCAAATGTTTCTCTAACTATTTCGATATCTGGTTAAGTGCAGCAATCAATTATTATTTGTTTTTTATAGGCAGCAACGGGTTAATGGATAATACCATAATTTCAATAGTTGTTAAGTTATCTTTTTTTCATATTTATTGGTACTTAACTTTAAGCTAATTGTTATTAAATATTTTCTGTGAAAGTTAACTAAGATGGTTGGATATCTTTTTCCATACTTTTAGTACTCTTAATATAATATTTATATAAATATATGTCTTCCTTGTTTTTTTGCTATCGCTATTGTTAACAATAATAAATCTCTTTCTATTCTACCGTAACGACTTAAATTACATAGCTTGACATTACTATTTATATGAATTGGCATGCAATTTAACTTATTTTAAGCCATTTATGACAGTCTTAAAGTCTAAACTGACGTGTTAAATTGTAAAACTAACACACATTTTCACTTCAATTTTATGATTATTTATTCATTGTAGACAAGTCTGTTACAAGTCTTGAGTGTCTACTAAATACTGTTTATAAATATGTGCCTAATTGACCTTTGACTGTTTATTAATCGCGTGTAATACCGCAAGCTAATGATTAAATAATCTTTGATGATTAAGACAAATATGATAGACTTTTTTATACCGTTTACAAAAATATTTAATACAGATTAAACATTGCTACATATATTTGATATCTGTGATCTTTATAAAAGGTTTTGAGCCAAAAAACTAATAACAACAAATCCCAAAATCAACATCAAATAAAAATAATACCCCCTGCAGCGCCCAATTGGAAATAAGCCAACCATAAAATTTGCTGATAACAAAAAGCTGTTTATAGATTATTATTGTTTGGAACAGATGTATAAGTATATATATACTATATAAACTATAATATATAAACAAATGAAGATTATGATTATCAGCTTGAGGCTTAATGCCAAACTTATGCCAAAGCTCAGTGGGCGGTGAAGTCCCCTCTAGAACGGATCGATCGCAGAAAAATTACAAAAAAAAAATGTGGATCGCTTTGCTGGGAACTCCACTCTTAATAGCAGTCCTTTGGCTTCTGCTAAAAGAAATTAATAAATCATATTTTATACTTTCATTAACTAAACGTGTGCGAACTGTGGATGGCAGTCCCTTGGAGACCAAAGTGGCTGTAATGCCAGGAAAAACAAGATTTGGAAATAATTTGGATATTCTTAACTTTACGCCATGTAAGTTAGGGAAAACATTATAGAAAAACCCTTTTAAGACTTCTTACTTATCACAGCTAGTGTTTTCAACTTTGTACGAGAATCCACTGCCAAGGCCAAAGGTCGGAACTATCTCTGGTACTTTCTCTTCGCACCCATGTATAATGTGGTCCGTGCGGAGGAGGCTGAGGAGATATTCCAAAGCCCCAAGCTGATAACTAAGAATGTGGTCTACGAACTGATAAGACCGTTTCTAGGAGACGGCCTTCTAACTAGCACGGGTGTGTCATTGATAGTGAGTTTTTTTTTTATTTTCACTAATTAGTTGATAACTTTTAGACCATAAATGGCACTCTAGAAGGAAAGCTTTGACGCCGGCCTTTCATTTCAATGTTCTGCAGTCTTTCTTGGCTATTTTTAAGTGGGTTTAAATTACTAATTATTAATGTTTAGATATGTTACTAAGTTTCGATTTCATTTCAGAGAAGAGTGCAACAAGTTCATAACTGTTCTTGACAAGAATGTAGATGCTGAACTAGATCTCAATCAGGTTATCCCACAGTTTACTTTAAATAACATTTGTGGTAAGTTGGTTGAAGTCAAAAAATATTCCCACTAAAACCAACTTTCTACAGAAACCGCTTTGGGCGTTAAACTAGACGACATGTCGGAGGGCAATGAGTACAGAAAGGCCATCCATTCCCTGGAAGAAGTATTAATTCAACGCGTCTGCAATCCGCTGATGTACTACAACTGGTACTTCTTCCTTTACGGAGACTATAGAAAACACGAGGAGAAACTTAAGATAGTTCACGATTTCTCAAGTCGCATCATCCAAAGGAAAAGACAGCAATTCAAGCAAAAACAACTTGGAGAAGTTGATGAATTTGGCAAGAAGCAGAGATATGCCATGTTGGATACTCTTCTATCAGCCGAAGCAGAAGGTCAGATCGATCATCAGGGAATCTGCGATGAGGTCAACACTTTTATGTTTGAGGGATATGATACCACATCAACCTGTCTTATCTTTACCCTTCTTATGTTGTCGCTGAATGAGGATGTGCAAAAGAAATGCTTTGAGGAGTTGGAAACTCTTCCGGAGGACAACGATGAGATCAGTGTTTTTCAGTTCAATGAACTGGTCTACTTAGAGTGTGTGATCAAAGAATCCCTAAGGATGTTTCCTTCGGTTCCATTCATTGGACGCCAATGTGTTGAGGAGAGTGTGGTAAATGGAATGGTAATGCCTAAGGAAACCCAGATTAGCATCCACATTTATGACATAATGAGAGATCCCCGTCACTTCCCGAAACCTGATCAGTTCCAACCAGAAAGATTCTTGCCAGAGAACACTGTTAACCGACATCCCTTCGCCTTTCGTTCCATTCAGTGCAGGTCAAAGGAACTGCATAGGTCAGAAGTTCGCCATCCTGGAGATGAAGGTACTTCTAGCCTCGGTTATCAGGAACTTTAAGTTACTGCCCGCCACTCAGTTGGAAGATCTTACTTTTGAGAACGGAATCGTCCTACGGACACAGCAGCATGTCAAAGTGAAGTTGGCGAAAAGGGTTAAATAGTGTTAAATATTGTAAGGGGAAAACTGTTTGCCAAAGATCTTATCATTCGTAAAAGTTGAAAGGATAAATGAAAATAAAAAATAATATAATTATTAAATTGATAGCATTCTTTTCTATTGTCTGGCACTGATTATAAATAAGTAAAAGTTCATGGGGTCATGAAACATGGAATCTATTCTATATTTATTTTAATTAAACAGTTTCTAACTGCGGTTACGCCTTCTGTTAATTGCTGATTTTGCATCAAAGTGTAATAAATTTTCATATCACTAAGGTAATTCAAGCCATACTGACTAATATATATACTACGATACAGATCAACATCAGAAGGGAAATCCTTTACAGACAAGTCTAATATACATAAATATAATAAATTTCTCATATAATTTATAATACAAATCCCTCTCTGATAGAGAGCTAGCTAGTAGTTAGTAGAGAACTAATAGCTTAATATATATGCCATGGGAACATGTTTTATACTAAGTACAAAAAATTAGATTCAAAAACACATTTGTTCCGTTCACTGAGTCTCTAATCGTCAAGAGGCATTAATAGATTAGAGCTTCATCTGAGAGGTATTCCAGCCGCTGACTGAAAGAAAAATTCAGCCTAGAAATGTTTGTGGAAATCCTGATTACTGTTCCCTTGGCTATTCTTATATTCCGGAAGCTGTTTATGCAACTAAATCAAAATTACTTCATCCTAAGTCTCTGCAAGCGAATTCGCACAGAAAATGGAAGTCCACTGGAGGACAAAATCTACGTAACGCCGACTAAAACCAGATTTGGAAACAACTTTGACTTGGTGAATTTTACACCGGGTGAGTCAGATCTTAAATCTAAACTTTATCTTTGTTTAATTAAACATTTCTTAGAAAGTATCTTCAACTTCATGAGGGAGGCATCTGCTGAGGCCAAAGGTAGAAACTATCTATGGTATTTCTTCCGTTCTCCCATGTATAATGTGGTAAGAGCCGAAGAAGCCGAGGAAATCTTTCAAAGTCCCAAGCTAATCACAAAGAATATAATCTACGAACTTTTAAAGCCATTTTTGGGAGAAGGACTGCTGACTAGCACAGGTATTTAAATATATTTAATGCTTAATCAATATTTTAATAGATTTTATTCAAAACAGACCAGAAATGGCATGCCAGAAGAAAAGCCCTGACTCCCGCTTTCCATTTCAATGTCTTACAATCTTTTCTGACTATATTCAAGTAAGCTTACGAAATAAGATTATATCTAAGTGTTATTAATAATTCTCTTTTAGGGAAGAGTGCAATAAACTCGTGAAAGTCTTTCACCAAAGTGTTGATAAGGAACTGGAGCTCAATCAAGTCATTCCCCAGTTCACTTTGAACAATGTTTGTGGTAAGTTCATACACGAAAACACGTAATCATCATGACAAGCTGAAAATGTAATCGCAATATTCGAAAGTAAATGACTATATATAGTACGGATTATTAGCTCTTAGGTTCATAGCCTATGAAGAGAGATTGTTATTTGACAAATCAATTTAATTGCAGAGACCGCGCTTGGGGTGAAGTTGGATGATATAACAGGTGGTATCCGATATCGAAGGTCAATTCATGCCATAGAAGAGGTCATGCAGCAGCGATTATGCAATCCCTTCTTCTACAACATAGTATATTTCTTTCTATTTGGGGACTACCGAAAGCAGGTGGATAACTTAAAAATAGCTCATGATTTCTCCAGCAACATCATAGAGAAAAGGAGAAGTCTCTTTAAGAGCAAACAGCTTGGCCAGGTGGATGAGTTTGGCCAGAAGCAGCGATATGCCATGTTGGATACTCTCCTAGCAGCCGAAGCCGAAGGTCAAATTGATCATCAGGGAATCTGCGATGAAGTCAACACTTTCATGTTTGAAGGATATGATACCACTTCAACCTGTTTAATCTTCACCCTGCTCATGCTGGCCCTGCATGAGGATGTGCAACAGCGATGTTACGAAGAGTTGGGACATCTTCCGGAGGACAGCGATGAAATAAGTCTGTTCCAGTTCAACGAACTCTTCTATTTGGAGTGTGTTATTAAGGAATCTTTACGCATGTTTCCATCAGTCCCCTTCATTGGACGGAAATGCGTGGAGGAAAGTGTGGTAAATGGCCTAATCATGCCCAAGGATGCCCAAATCAATATTCACATCTATGAAATCATGAGGGATCCGCGGCACTTTCCGAATCCTGAAATATATGACCCAGACCGATTCCTGCCAGAGAACACTGTTGACCGACATCCCTTCGCCTTTGTTCCCTTTAGTGCAGGCCAAAGGAACTGCATAGGTCAGAAGTTCGCCATCCTGGAGATGAAGGTCCTTTTGTCATCGGTTATTAGGAACTTTAAGGTACTCCCTGCTACTCGATTGCAGGATCTGGTTTTTGAGAATGGAATTGTCCTACGCACACAGCAGAGTATCAAAGTGAAGTTGGCGAAAAGGGTTAAGTAATACTGAATAACGTTGGAGAAAACTGTCTGCCAAAGATGTTTAATTTTGTAAAATTGAATCTGAATAAAGTCGACTAATCACTTATAAAATTAATAACGGTGTTTGTTTTTTATGATCTTGTTCTGACTAATCAAAGATAGTATCATCAAAGTAAGCTAATCGATCACTAAAGCGTTTAGTATGTGTTTAACTTAATCGATCCCTTCAGAGATTGTAAGACTTTAATTATTTATAGCTCTTTTGTGCTAGTTACGATAAAAAATTTTGTAAAAAATGTAACGACTGGGTGGTACTTCTTAAAATGAAAGAAAATATTAAATAATTTAAAAGATGAAAGTACTAGGATATTTAAAAACTCTCTAAGCAATTAGATTAGTACCTTAAATTTAAAGGATCATCTTGAAAACTGAAACTTTTCTATATACCCACCCACCTTTTGCCGGCTGTGTGTGGGAACATGTTTTATACTAAGTAATAAATATTGATTTGACAATAGACGTTCGTTCCGATCGGTAACTTCTAATCGGCATCTATCATTTATAGATCAGAGCTTAATCTGAGAGGTCTGAAAACCGCGGATCGGAAAATTTTTTAAGGCTGAAATGATTGTGGAAGTCCTGATTACAGTTTCCTTTGTGATTATCATTTTTCACAAATTGTGGACGAAAGTGAATGAAAATTATTATGTCTTAAGTCTCTGCAAGCGACTTCGAACAGTAGATGGAAGTCCATTGGAAAGCAAAATTTACGTAACGCCGACAAAAACGCGATTTGGAAACAACTTTGATTTGGTGAACTTTACACCGGGTGAGTAGAATCTCAAATCTAAACTATACCCTTATGTTGTTAAATATTCCTTAGAAAGTATCTTTAACTTCGTAAGAAATACATCCGCTGAGGCCAAAGGTCGAAACTATCTGTGGTACTTCTTCCATGCGCCTATGTATAATGTGGTCAGGGCCGAGGACGCCGAGGAGATCTTTCAAAGTCCCAAGCTGATCACGAAAAATATGATCTACAACCTTCTGAAACCCTTTTTGGGGGAAGGTTTGCTAACAAGCTCAGGTACATTAAGCTTTTTAATTACTTAATATTTTTTAAAGATTTTTAAAACTAAATATAGATCAGAAATGGCATGCCAGACGAAAAGCCTTGACTCCTGCCTTCCACTTTAATGTTTTACAATCTTTTCTGGTCATATTCAAGTGAGTTTTCTATCAAAGAAAGCACTTTAAGGTCTTGATAATTCTACATTTCCAGGGAGTCTTTCACCAAAGTGTCGGTAAGGAATTGGATCTTAATCAGGTCATTCCCCAATTCACTTTAAACAATATTTGTGGTAAGTTTAATCAAACAAAACCCTTTGTAATTATAAGCATTGAGAAAATCATTAGCAGGGAGTTTAGTCATAATTTACCCATTTCTCATCTCAAATTAAATAAATTCACAATATTTGAAAGTATAATGCTCATTCGTGTATAATAACCATTATTTACTGGGTGGTTTATATAATTATCTAAAGAATTCATTCTCCGCTTTGATAAATGTATAAACTAACTGATTTAATTGCAGAAACCGCACTCGGCGTGAAGCTAGATAATATGACGGAGGGTATACGATATCGAAGGTCGATTCATGCCATAGAAGAGGTTATGCAGCAGCGATTATCCAATCCTTTCTTCTACAACATAGTTTATTTCTTTATATTTGGGGATTACCGAAAGCAGGTGGATAACTTAAAAATAGCTCATGATTTCTCAAGCAACATCATTGAAAAAAGGAGAAGTCTCTTTAAGAGCAAACAGCTTGGCCAAATGGATGAGTTTGGCCAGAAGCAGCGATATGCCATGTTGGATACTCTCCTAGCAGCCGAAGCCGAAGGTCAAATTGATCATCAGGGAATCTGCGATGAGGTCAACACTTTCATGTTCGAAGGATATGATACCACTTCAACCTGTTTAATCTTCACCCTGCTCATGCTGGCCCTGCATGAGGATGTGCAAAACAGATGTTACGAAGAGTTGGAACATCTACCGGAGGATAGCAATGAGATCAGTTTGTTCCAGTTTAACGAACTCTTCTATTTGGAGTGTGTCATTAAGGAATCTCTGCGCATGTTTCCCTCAGTGCCGTCTATTGGACGAAAGTGCGTGGAGGAGGGTGTTGTTAATGGTTTAATCATGCCCAAGGATACTCAAATCAACATTCACTTATATGATATCATGAGAGATCCCCGGCACTTTCCTAGTCCACATGTCTATAATCCAGATCGATTCTTGCCAGAAAATACTGTTAACCGACTTCCTTTTGCCTTTGTTCCCTTCAGTGCAGGACAAAGGAACTGCATAGGTCAGAAGTTCGCTATTCTCGAGATAAAAGTTCTTCTGGCGGCGGTGATTAAGAAGTTTAAGTTAATACCCATTACTTATCTTAATGACCTTACTTTTGAAAATGGAATGGTATTGCGCACTAAGCAGAATGTAAAAGTTAAATTGGTGTCTAGGAGGAAGGACTAAATTATTCTTCTTACTATAAAAAGCAACACCGTTTAATCAGTTGATTTTTACTTTTTTTATTATTATTTTAATACAACCTTAAACTAGAAATAAAAGAACCATAAAACATTTCGATAACAAAAAGCTATTTTTATTGGCCTTTTTCTTCAGATAGGTAATGCCAGAGCTCAGTGCGCTTTGAAATTTGCAGTAGTACGGATCGCCGAAAAGCTCAAAATGTTGTTCCCTCTATTGGGAACTATTACTTTTATTCGTCGCCTCTTTGGCTTCTACTAAATCAACTTAATAAAACTTACTTTCTCCTTTCACTATCTAAACGTGTGCGAACGAAGGATGGCAGTCCTTTGGAGAGCAAAGTTTTTGTAATTCCAGGAAAAACTCGATTCGGCAACAACTTCGATCTTCTTAACCTAACGTCAGGTGAGTAATACTTCTTATCTAAACAACTATTAATTAACTATTATTGCAGAAACTATTTTTAACTTTATACGAGAATCAACCGCCAAAGCCAAAGGTCAGAACTATCTTTGGTACTTTCTTTTTGCCCCGGAATATAATATAGTTCGTGCCGAAGATGCTGAGGAAATATTTCAGAGCACCAAAATAACAACCAAGAATATGGCTTATAATTTGATAAAGCCATTTCTGGGCAATGGCCTACTGATTAGCACAGGTCAGTGAACTAAAGTTAGAGATTATACAAAAAGTTTGCTAATACAAATCTTTTTTAGACCAAAAATGGCACTCCCGAAGGAAAACTTTGACCCCAGCTTTTCATTTCAATGTTCTGCAGTCTTTTCTCTCTATCTTTAAGTGGGTTTCATTAATTAATTTATACATTGTTTATACTTCATTGAGTAAATTTCAGAGAAGAGAGCAAAAAGATCATCAAAGTTCTGGACAAAAATGCAGGCCTCGAATTAGAAGTCAACCAGATTATTCCACAATTCACTCTGAATATTATATGCGGTAAGTTGGAGTCTAGGTTAAACGCCAAATTCTAAACTCTATTTTCAATTACTTTTGAAGAAACCGCTTTGGGTGTTAAACTTGACGACTTGTCAGAGGGAAACGAATACAGAAAGGCTATCCATGAGTTTGAAGAAGTTTTCAATCAGCGTGTCTGCAATCCTCTGTTGTATTACAACTGGTTCTTCTTTCTTTTCGGAGATTATCGCAAACATTCCAAGATACTTCGGATAATTCACGACTTCTCAAGTAGCGTTATCCAACGGAAGAGGCAGCAGTTTCAGCAGGAGCCACTTGGGGAAGTGGATGAATTTGGCAAGAAGCAGCGATATGCCATGTTGGATACTCTCCTATCAGCCGAAGCAAAAGGTCAGATCGATCATCAGGGAATCTGCGATGAGGTCAACACTTTCATGTTCGCTGGTTACGATACCACATCAACCTGTCTTGCCTTTACTCTGCTCATGTTGGCCCTGAACGAGGATATCCAAAAATCGGTGCTACGAGGAGATTCAAACCCTTCCCGAGGATGGTGATGATATCAGTGTGTTCCAGTACAACGAACTAGTATACTTGGAATGTGTGATCAAGGAAACGCTAAGGATGTTTCCTTCGGCGCCGCTTATTGGACGAACGTGTGTCGAGGAGAGTGTTGTGAATGGTTTGGTCTTGCCCAAGGATACCCAGATCAGCATACACATTTATGACATTATGAGGGATCCCCGTCATTTCCCGAAACCAAATCAGTTCCAACCAGAAAGATTCTTGCCAGAGAACACTGTTAACCGACATCCCTTCGCCTTTGTTCCCTTCAGTGCAGGTCAAAGGAACTGTATTGGTCAGAAGTTCGCCATCTTAGAGATGAAGGTATTATTGACATCGGTCATCAGGAACTTTAAGTTATTGCCCGCCACTAAGTTGGAAGATCTTACTTTTGAGAGTGGAATCGTTCTACGCACGACGCAGAATATTAAAGTGAAATTTCAGAAAAGGGTAAGGGAATGATCTATTAAGTTAATAACAGTTGCTATTCTACCAAATAAGGTACAATAAAATATACACCGCTGTACTCTAAGCATTTACTGAACAGCCTACAAATATGCTGCAATTTTGTAAAAAAAAATGTCTGGTGTTTAACAGAAACTGTTATGAATAGTTTATGTAAAATATAAGTAACAGGCAAACACAATTTTAATCATTTCATTCACAGCTTATTTTTTTAATAAATGTATGTTCTTATTCTTACATTATTTTTTATTAGATGGCAATATTTTTCTTTTAATTGAATTGTTAAGACCTCACAAAAACACAAATTTATGGAATTAATAAAGTTACTGCCTATTATTTATAAACCATAACTAATCACAGAACTCCGCTGTTAACAGACTGCAATACAAACTAAACTTCCATCGCTGTTATCGAACATGTTTTTACCATAAACAATGTAATTATCAATAATTATTTATAGAACCAATTCAAAATGAAGTGCACTTGCAGAAATACTTGCTTCCATATATTTCCAATTGGATTAAATAACTTTAATACCCCAATTAGAAAAGAACAAAATAGCCTGTTGCTGAAGGGAAGTATTGGGAATCAAAGAACTACAAACCTCCCTAGAACTTGATCTAAACAAAAATATATAAACAATGTTTTGCCACATGTGTATTTCAGTTATTTAAACAAACAAACTTTGGTATTCTTGGTAAAATATGTTTTAAACAATAGAAGGTAGAGAAAATGTCCTTAACATTCTTGCGAACATAAATACTGCTGGTACTACTCAATTAATGATTTTTCCTAAGTCGATGGTAGGGTGGCAATTAGTGCTCGTTATTATAAAATAGTTTCGGTAACAAATGCTTAATTTAATTATATATTTCCATTTTGCGCATCGAATAACAAAACAAACCGCACACTCACACACTCCCGCAATCACATGCACTGCCAGTGCACTAAACACACACACACTGTCGTAGACGCGAGCATCATGGAAAACAATTTGTCTTTAAGATATTATTGATTTTCAGTTTGATTTCTTTCATGTTGTTTTAGTGAAACATCCACTCACCAGTTGTTAAATGCACAAATATCATATTTACACCGAAAACTAACAAAAAACAAAACATTTTATTCCAATTCGCGTTAACAGCACAAATAAACATTAACAGCGCGTGCCCGTTAGAGCTGGAAGAAGCATCGATGGGATATCGATATATCTTTTAAATCAACATCGATATTTTAATTAATAGAATTAATGATTCAATTAAATTCAAAATTAAATTAAATCGTAATTCGATTTTGACCGTAATAAAATGACTTTCTATTTATATGCTATCATAATTTGGAATTTGGTAACAAATTTCTTCATTTTAAAGTAACAAATTTTATGAAGATAATTAGAAAATAATCAGTTAATCAGAAAATTCCTCGATTATTTATTTCTCACCCAAAAATGTATAAAAAAGGTTCCCATTTCTAAATAAAATAAAATAAAACATTTTCAATGATATTTTGCTTTTTTAAATAATTGTATATTTGGTTTTTTTTTGTATTTAATTTTATATACTTTTAAAAAGTAATTCTATTTTGATCGAAAGTATTGATTGAAGCACTGATCACCACACAATAAAGTGAATCGAGTGGTAATAAACTAATACGAGGTTTTATCTTTACATATAAATCGAGTGAGTTATTGGGACGAATAAAGTTTTAACAAAAAGATGCGTTCGCAAAAGCAATATTAAAGAGTATTGGCTAACTTAAATCGCAATTTAAATACATAGATTAGTGTGTATGGTTACAGCTTTACAGGTCTTTTGTCGTTACATATAACATATATTAATATCATAGATCATCATTTTTTACGTTCATTTTCGTTATCTTTTTCTCTACCAATAAAATTAACAACAATTCCGATGCATTTGATTTTGGGCACGTGATAAACATTGATAAACGTGCTCGCCTACTCAGACGCATAACAAATTTAAAATACTGTTTTTCTTCTAATATAATTAATATACGATAACTATTTCAGTAGTCAATTAGTAAGGTCAACATTGCAGTGAGAGACATGAACGAACATTGTATGTATATGTATATGTGGAAAATTCTGGTCATACAATATGTTCTACTCGAATGAACTGCTCTTAGTTTTGTGTAAATAGTTTTCTTCTTTCATATAAGTTTTTAGTCGATTACTAGATGTGTTACAAATTGGTACACTAGTGTGGATTGTTCCTCATTTGCGCGTGGGTGAGTTTAAGTTGAATTCGTGTCAACATTAGGCTCAAAGTCACTTTAGTTATTGCAGCGGTGCTCGCGTGCCGAACAACATTTATGCACATTCATTCACAAAAAACGCAACGACGATTATGCAAACTTAATCTACCGAGTTGATGTTTCATATCTTCTAAAACTTTCATAACGATATATATATGTATATATAGGTGCATGTTCGATGTCTGTTGATGCTGAGCACCTCTCCTCAGGTTGTCTTTCTCTTCTTTTCTTTAAACTATAAACTATATCCGTTTGCCGTTTAAGCAAACTAAGGCATGCCAGGCAGTCCGCCGCCCACAAGACGCTGATGTTGCTGCTGCTGGTGGATGAGATTCACCCTAGCCCGCTGCTGCTCCAACCGCTGAACTGTGGCCGTCAGATGTGAGTTCTCCACATAGAGATCTTTGACCAGGATGTCGGCATTCTGCAGACGCTGTGTCTGATCTGCCATAATAACACCCTGGGCTTCGATTCGGCTATGCAGTTCATTGAGCTCCACTTGATGCTGCCGCCAGGATTCTAAAGGATATATTGCATTATAAGGTGTCATTCTTATGCAAGTCATAAGATATACTCACGCTGCATCAGGGACTCGGTGTATTGCTGCTGCTGCTTAATGACATTCTGCAGATGGCGATTCCGCAGCTCCAATTGGTTCAGTCGCTGCTGAAGCGTTGGATGCGTAGTTCGCTAAATCGTAAAAACAAAAATTAGTTAAGATATATTCCTTGTCAAAGTTAACAATTAGCTCACCGCATAGGCCTTCTCAAGAACAGGTCTCGCCTCTTGCAACTGCTGCAGTTCCATAACCAAACCATCTCGTTGCAAACTCAAGTCCTTGATCTGCTCCTTAAGGGACAGTTCGAAGAACTTTAAACGCTTCAGTTCCTCCTTCAATGCCGACGGACTGCTGCACTTTTCGTGGCTAAGGCAAGATGTTTTACTGGTAGATTCGAAGCTCTTATTGGATGCCGTCGACGACGTTTCACAATCGCCGATCTCTCCCTCGGATGGTGCCTGCTGAGGACTCTGTGCCCGCTTAGGTTTGCTAATAGGAGCTGGACCGGTGTTAGCGGCTGAGGCACTGTTTGTGGGCGAAGGACCCGAAGGAGAGGTCTCGAAGGGTGTGGTGCTGAAGATGGATGTCTCCGAAGTGGTAAGGTTATTGCTGTTTGGACAAAGCAATTTGGGAATTTATGGAATCATCAGGAAGGAAAGGCTTTTGAAATCAATTTCCTTTAATAGGAACTTTGAAATAATATTTTGTTTTTAAAAAATAAACCAAAGAACATTTTTAGTAAACCAATTTATGGAAACTTAAATAATGAAACGATGAAGAACATTTCTAGTAAGCCAATAAAAAGGTGTTACAAATTTCCAACTCTAAAACCCAAAAATTTTGATGTTCTTTATTTAAATGATAAATAAATGACCTTTCCTTTTTTATGAATTGCTTTATGATTATAAATTATATTTATTGAACAAGCACAGATACATACACTTAGAAACTAGATTAGCTTAGATTAGACAAGGTTAAAGGTGAGGGACGAGGGCAAAGACATATATATACAAGACATAAAACAGTGCAGGTTAGGAGGGACACACACAGGAATGCAGACACCATATGGACAGACACACACAGATGCTTCTCATACTCACCGGCTGGCTGTCTTGTGCGATGGTGAGCCTCCCAGGAGTTCAATAGCACTGGCGGTGGCTTCATCTCTAGTGTCAGCAAGGGATTTCGATGGCTCCTGGATGGTGCTCTGTAGCCAGAGGTAGCTGATGGGTGAGCTAGCAGGACTCTTTCCAGCCTCGGCACTCATTTGAGCCACCGATTCCGTAGTGAGTTCACAGGCACCAGTGAGGATCTCCACACTCTCACCCAATCTCAGTCGCAGGTCCTCGATCTCTGATTGCAGCGAATCAATTTCCTGAGCCTTCTCCTCGAGCATTTGAATAGAACTCGTTCGGAGTTGGGCTGCCTCTTCCTCCAGAGCAACGTACTGCTGCTCCAGCATATCACGCTCATCGATGGGCGACAGACGACCATCCTTGCTGAACTGCTCCTCGTACTCGCGCACCTTCTCCATCAGCTCGGTGAATTTCTTATCACTCTCGTGCTGCTCATCCTCATAGATCTGCCGCTCCTTCTCAAACATCTGCCGCTCTTCGCTGAGTTTGGATTGCCAGTAATCCTCGCAATCCTCATAGGCTCGCTGCATTTGCTCAAGACTGGATTCCAGTTCTTTGGATCTGCTTTCCGGAGTAAGAGATCTGCCTTCCTTGGCGGCCTTGAGTTCCTTCTCCAATTCAGCCACTCGTTGCCTGAGGCTGGTTAGTTCCTCATCTTGGCTTTGACTTCTTTGGAGCTCGGAGTTCAGGGCCAACCAATCTCCACTATTGCTGGCATCACTCTGCTCGCCCTCAGTGCACTTTCGCTGCTTTCCCAGGCGAGGGCTCTCCTCTGTGAGATGAGTTTTGCTCGGCGAGTCACCACGCCTTTTGATGGCCGTGGAAGCCGCCTCCTGCTCTTCCAGTTTCTCCTGCTTCTTTCCCTTGGTTTTCGAACGGATCAATTCCACATTTAAGCTCTCGATTTCGATGGTCAGTTCATCAGTCTTGTCACGCAGCTGGGCGTTCTCCATTTGCAGGGCAGCCAACTTCTCCATCAGCTGCAGCATTTCCTCTTCCTTATCCTCGCTGTGCCTTCTTGGATGCATTGGACTGTGCTCGGGAGTACCACCAATGCTGCTAGGCCTTTGGGCTAGTTCCTGGTTGAGCTTTATATTCTGCTCGAGGAGCTCTGTAAGTTGGATGTGGGCCTTTTGCTGCTCTGACTCCAACTCGGAGTTCTCTGTGCGCACCAGTTCGAGCTCTGTTTTAAGGCGGATCTCTTCCTGCTCTAGGGATTTCAGCTGAGCTTCCAGTTTTCCCGTCATGCTAGTCCAATGATCGCGATCATTGCTCATCCGCAAGGTAAGTTCCCTCACCATGCTGGCATGTCGTTGTTCCAACTGTTGCACCTGCTTCTTGGAGCTGTCCTCCAGCGAGGCATGCCGCTCATCCACTTCCACAGCCAACAGAGCAACCCTTTGGTTAGCCGCCTTATTATCAGCTCTCAGCTTAAGGTTCTCCTCGTGCTGTTGCCGATAGGCCAGTCGGTAGTTACCCAACTCCGTGGCTTGCAGGGCGGCCAGGGCACGCAACATACTAGACTGCTCCTGATCCCCTTCGAGTCCGCGGAACTCTTCCTCTAAAGCCTTGGTAAGCTGTTGCAGATTAACTTCCTCTTCCTCATCGAATCCAAGGACATGGAGCAGGGTGCGACTATTGGGAATACTAGCCAGTTCCCAGGCTTCGATGATGCACTGAACAGAGAGCGTTTCCAGCTGTTGAGGCGTCACGGTGTCTGCAAATCATGGCAATTAACAATTAGCGTGGGACGAATAAGATTAGCTTTGCTTTTGTATATACACATTTATTACTATATATATATATAGCCCAAGATACCAGGTGTGGAGGATTGGGAGTGGGTGGTGGGTGTGGGTTTTCGATGGTGTAAGCGAAAGCGGCGAAACTTTGCTGTTTATCTTTATCAAATGGCTTTTCGAAATGGGAACAAATAATAATTAACCTAAATATATTGATAGAAGGTTCGTAAAAGGTTTAAAAAATAAGAAGTATAGAAAGGAAAACCTATATGCAACATAAAAACTGTTTTTGTTTATTGTATAATAGCTTTTATATTGATTTAAACTTCACTATCAACAAGTAATAGCTTTACGGGGGTAGGAAATTTAGGATATGTGATTAATACGAGTATATAGAGAACGAATCAAATGTGCGGCTACATAGGGTGCGATTAGATACCGAATGATTTTTGGGGTTGGGTGTATGGAAGGGGTGTTGACAATTTGCTTGAGAGCGAACAAACCTTTGCAACATGACCAACGGCCGCCGTGGTAGCATCTCCGGTGCTCGGACGACGGTGCGGAATTGGTGGTGGCCAGGTGATGGCCTACGGTGTGTACAACCGAACAACAAGTGTTTTTTTTTTACTATTATAATTGTTTCAAACGTAATTTTGGGCATTTTGGGCTAATAACAATATAGGATATGGCAAGGGCAAAGGGTTTGGGTAATCTGGTTGGAATCGGGTTGGGTTAATCGCCATTGAAAACTTACCTAGGGATTCCACGCTGCTGCTGTGCTGGGTCTGGCTTTGGATGGAAAGCTGTTTCAACTTGGCAGCTGCCGTCGGCGATGTCGCCGCTCCCGTGGAGGTGTTGTGCATCTTGGATTGCAGATTCCTACGTGCTGGCAGCGAAGCACATCTCTTCAGCTTGTTTCCGCTGGTGTGGACAGTACGCAGTCGCCGGCTGCCAGGAAGATCACTCTGGGATGAAGAACGCTGGACCTGGGAAGGGAAATGTACAATGGAGAAGCCTTTTAATTATAGTTCAACTTTAGGGAACATCTCAATGAATAACAAATTCTTCTTAGAATTTATTAAATTTCCAGATTCTCCATTACGTATTTAGTCACTTTCTACTTCAACCAACTGGTAACGATTCCGCTTCAAAAAAAATCTGTTTACTAAGCACTTTTGCTTACAAAGCCAAAAGTTGTAGAGCCACTTTGTACGTGACTTCATGACTGCCACTCACCTGAACTCCCAGGTCATCGCAACCGTTGAGACTCCGTTGCTTCTGCTGCTGAAGCTGATCCTCATCCGTATTATCCGAATCTGTGACGGACAACTCGTAGATTCCCTGATGTGGCCTGGAACGGCGTCCGTATTTTTTGGTGCCCACAATTAGTTTCGGCGACACTTCGCGATCGGAAGACTCCGGCGGACTTTCAATATATGTGCTGGCCAGTGGCTCATCTGTGATAACCAACGAACGCTCTGGAAGATTGATGTAGGTTAACAAGGAACTTGAATATTTTAATGGATTTAAGGGGACTACCAAAGCGAGCTGCTAATTTTTCAATAATCGGATCGGCTATTTGGCCGCCTGATTGGCGGTAATACAATCGTGTTCCCATTTCGATTCAAACTAAACTGAGTAACTGAATGGTTAGTCTACTTATACAGGGTAACTGACTACCTGCTGAAAGTTCTTGAAAGGATCAGGTAGGCGGCGGCAGGTCATAAAAAAATTGGCAATTGCATCTAGACTTTTATGACTGCCAGCTGCCGACGTGCTAATCCGCGAACTGATTATGATATTCTTACCCAAAGGTATCCTAATTTTCCTTTAAAAGTTTCCTAGCCAGATAAGGAGATACGTTTGAAGGTAGCTATGTATATATCTATATGTGTATTCTAGATTCTTCTTTAGATTTTGGTGCAGATTACAACACTTTATAACATCTATTAAATTAAAACTTGTAACCAGATTAGTAGCATTCATTTTGAAAGGAATCTATTAACATAAAGGAATAAAAATGCTTCCATTTTTAGGGAAAAGGAATCTCAAGACTACTAAGAAACGAGATCTAAATCAACATCAAATGTAATGGTTTATTAATAAGACAACTTTTCCGATTCAAACACCCTCCCCTAAATCGGATTATTATCTCTAGTATGTGACTAGCAAACACTCTGTAATTATCTCTGATATTGCTTGAAGGGTAATTAAAGCGCAATTACAGATAGCCCGTATGATTTTGTTTTATAGGAACCTGTCGAGTTAGTTTGTATATTAACTTAAGTTAAGGGTATTCCCAGCTTGTGCCGTTCATTCTTAGCGTTATCTTACCCATAAAACCCGATGACGTCGTGCCATCGAATTCGGATCCCAGAAAGTTGAGCAGGGCCTCCTTAAACTGGCCAAAGGAAACGCCCAGCTGTTGACCGCCGCCCAGGCTGGCTATCAATGCGGATCCTTGATCCCGGAGTTCCAGCAAGGAGCATAGTTTTAGCAGCGATTTCTCGTCCAGAAGTCCACATTGCGTCTCGCAGCTGCGGAACATTTGATACAGCTTCTGCTCGTACGGATCGGTGGAAACCTCCATTATCCGTATCCTGGGGGATTCAGTTTGCAGCCGGTGAAATCGATAAGGTGCTCAATTGCGTTTTCTCCTTGTTTTTTTCTGTTTTTTTTGGAATTTCACAAACGCAGTCAGGGGTCGAAAACAAAAAAACTTTATATATATATATGTTGCGTGGGTGGGGGAATTACGCGTGTTTTTTCTGGATAACAAGGCAATTATATGGTTACTAATGCTACTAATCTATGATATGCTCTTGGGAACGAAACATAAACACTCGCGCGTTTGCGGTTTTTTTATTGGGGATTAGGAATAGCGTAATTTCTGGCGAGTTGATAAAAAACAATAATGCAGTAATAGCGAGCACGGCGGCGCACTCTTGTGGCCAACTAGCGAACTTATGATAGAGGCGGCACTATCGAACACTTTTGCGACTATCGGTTGACTAGCATCAGGCGGAAAATAAAAAAATTTAATTTTAAGGGATAAGAACGTTTTTCTCTAGTCCTAAATTTCTTTCATATAAATTACAATATTACAATATTCCAATTGCAAAATTATTTTTAAGTAAATGTCATCATATTGTTGTAAAAATCGCTGGCAGATGTGTTTAACAATAAATATTTTATATTACACAAAAAAATACATTTAAGTATATAAATATTTAAACTGAATAAGTATTAATTTATTTAACAAAATAATTTCATATCTTTATATTTTGTTTAAATAAAGTGTTGTAAAACACCCAAACTGAACTGCTTACCGTCTTCATAAAGCAGTGCGAAGATAACATTAAAGTATCTTACAGAATACACCAATACATTAATGAAACTATTAAATAACAGCATTCCTATTTATTATTTGAACAAAGAAATTTGTCTTTCCAAACAAAAAGTTTTTATCTTTAAATTCACAACAACACGTTTTTATCGATTTACAGCTATCAGGGTTGGTTGAGAGGTTTTGGGAAAAATGCAATTTCACAACTTGGTAACACTGATTTGCAAGCTACAAAAAATAAGGAAAAAATAAAAATATCTTTGATCGCAGCCATCGAGTGGAAAACTCAACTGAATATCATGACCCACCGGTGCCTGCCGACGACGCCGAGGGATTAACTGAGTTGGTGCAGCAAAATCCAGTCCATTCGCTAAGGGTCACTAAACACCCCGAAATCCGAGACTTCCGAGTGGCCCACAGAAACCGCAGATAGTATTGCCTCCATTTGTTTGCATTACGGCACGGCGGGATCAGGGGAATCCCCGTCCGGGTGATATGGCCATGCACTCGTACATGCGCCAGGGATCGGGATCGGGTGCTGGAGCTGGCGCCGTAGCAGCTGGAGCACCTCCGCTGGCCAGTCCTGATGAGGTGCACGGCTTCCTAAAGGACAAGCAGGCGTGGGAGCATGCCATCTCCCTGTACCAGGGTTTGGATCCTCTCGATCATTGGTACAACTATATCTGTTGGTACGAGAACCACGCGCACAGCGATCCTGAGATCAAGTACCGTGAGACCCTCGAACGCTGTCTAACGGTGTACGAGCACAATGACTCCTATCGTCAGGATCCCCGTTTGGTGCAGCTGTGGCTAAAGTACATAGCCATGCAGACTGATCCGTTGCACTTCTACCAGGTACTCTTCCAGAGAGGCACAGGCCGTCAGGTTGCCGCCTTCTACATTGGATGGGCTGCCTACTACGAGTCGCGCGAGGAGTTCAAGGACGCGGAAGCGGTTTTTAACTTGGCCTTCCAGGAGAAGGCTCAATGCACTTCCGAACTGCAGCACGCCCACTCCAAGTTCACCTATGCCAGATCGCTATATCATCAGCGACAACAGCAGCAGATGCAGCAGCAGCAACAACAACAACAACAACATCCCCCGCCCGATGCACTGCAGCAACTCACGAACTATGCACAGCAACAGATGCCGCAGAGCTATCCACAACACCGTCCCCAGCCATATCAGCAGAATGTCTATCAGCAATATCATCCGCAGACGCAGCCACATCAAGTTGCACAGACCCATCAGCCGGCGGCACACCAACATCAGCCGCAAGAACAACAGCTTGCTTATCAGGCGCACTACCAGGAGCAGCCACGCTATGAGCCACATCCTGCAACTCCACCCGCAGCAACAATACCAACAGCCCATGTCCAACAACAACAACAACCGCAATATGCTCCTGCGGCAGAGGTAATAATCGCAACTAAACTTTCGAAACTATTGCGTTAACTTTTCTGTTATTTTTAGCCACATTTTGCACCAGCCCAACAACAACAACTGCCGCCACAACAGCCTACAGCACCGCAGCAACATGCGCAGCAACCCCAGCAGCAGCAACACAATAGCAATGGCAATGTTAATCCGGCGTCTCAACCGAATCCACCCGTAGCAAGCGAAGTGGCTGGTCTGCGTTTGCCGCGCAATTTCTACTCTTACGGACGCAACAATCATGAGACCTGGAAGCCAGCTTTGACGCTCGAGGAACCAGATGATCCTTCGCGGGTTTGCCACTATGCCAAGCAGTTGGTATATCCACCGGGAGCAGGCATCGAGTATAGTCCGGAGGAGATACTAGCCCGTAAGTTCAAGCAGTTGATGGAGCAGAAGGCAAATCCAGCGGAGCCGCCGGAGCAGCAACAGCAAACTCTTTATGATTCCTACGAGTCGCAGACATCCTACTATATGACTGCTGTGGATGGAGCTCTTTACGGGCAGAACAATAGCAGTGGTCAGGAGAATACAGGCGAGGAAGATGAGGATAATGAGGCGGAAGAAGGTGAAGAGGATGAGGAAGCAGGAGGTGATAATGAGGATGATGAGTCTGATGAAGAAGAGGAAGATGAAGAGGAGGAAGAGCCAGGCGAACACTTCACCAATGGAGTGCAATTCACTGCGCAAACGACTTTCGAGCAGGAAAACCGCTCAATTAAAATAAAATTCAGGAAGGAGCCTAGCAGCACCTATAGTGCCTATACCATAGAAAACGTTTACCAACAACAACAGCAACAGCAGAGACATCATGAAATAATCCAGCAGCCACCGCAGGTCATTCATCATCCTCCGCCGGAACCTGCGCCCGCTTCACCGATTCCCATGCAGCGTCAACGCAACGGTGGCCATCACCATTTCCATCCCTATATGCTGGGCCAGACCTCGACACCTAAGAGCGAAGCGAACGGCTACCGCAGGATACGGACCAAAGGCAAACGCAGCAAGTTCCATCCAGAACTCTGCAGCAACAGTAATTCGGCTTCATCGTCGACTGATGTGGCCCCTGCCAGCTCGAGTAGTGTGCCTGCTGGTGCACCTGGAGCCTTCAATGACAATGCAAACTTTTCATTCTCCAGCGCCACCGGTCTGGATAACTCAAATAGTTCACTGGCTTTGGCCGTGGATAGACTTAACTTCCGCGACACATCGCAACAGCATCCGCTCCATCCGGTCAATAAGACCCTCCAAACGCACAACAACAACAATAACACCAGCAACAATAATAATGGCAACAGTACACTGGCCGACTTCTCCACTTTCCAGGAGAACTCGTACTTTGCCACCCAACACGATACGGAAGCTCAGGAGCGTCGCCTTTCGAAGGCTGTGGAAACGATTGCTCGCCATTTGGCCAAGGAAGCCATCGATCCGTTTAACAGCGAACTGTGCCGTGCCTTCCTCGCTAAGTTGGACTTTCCGGGCGATCACGATGCCCATGCGAGCTACAAGATTGTGCAAACGCCACTGCCAAAAATATCCAACACTCGTACGCTGAACGTTCTCGAAGGCGTTACCTTCAACATAGACAAAGAGGTGGGTCGCGGATCCTACGGCTCGGTGTATAAGGCCACCGATTCGCGTACAGGCAATGTGGTGGCCCTGAAGTATCAAAAGCCCCCAAACACCTGGGAGATTTATATATGTGATCAGGTGAGAATTCTTATATTTTTCTAAAAATGTTCTTAAAATTAAAATCCAAATTCCATTTTTTAGGTGCTAAAACGCATCAAGGAGCCGGAGGTGTTGCCCGGACTGATGGACATTTCCACGGCGATTATCGCCCCAAATGCTAGCCTAATAGCCACCGAGTTCTCACCATTTGGATCGCTGCTGGACATCAACAACAAGATACGCCAGGCCACCACCAAAGTGATGCACGAATCGCTGGTGATGCATTTCTCGGCGCAGATCTGCAACATCGTCGACCACCTGCATAAACAGCACATCATCCATGCGGACATTAAGCCGGACAACTTCCTGCTGATGCGTGTCCCCAATTTGGATAGTGCGCTGCCATCGCTGCGGCTGATTGACTTTGGGTGCGCCATCGATATGACTCTGTTTCCGGATGCAGAGCGTACCAAGTTCCGTAAGGTTGTGCAAACGGATGGCTTCACGTGTATCGAGATGCAGGAGGGACGCAGCTGGTCCTACGAAACGGATCTTTTCTGCATTGCAGCCACTGTTCATGTGATGCTCTTCGGTGACTATATGCAGCCGCAGAAGAAAGGCTCCAGCTGGGAGATTCGACAGAAGCTGCCGCGCTACCTCAAAAAACATGTGTGGACCAAGTTCTTTGGCGAACTGCTCAACATGGAAGCAGACAAACTTCCCGCTCTGCAGGAGATGCGTTTAATCTTCGAGGAGGAGGCTTACCGTATGGACTCCGAGTTGCAGAAGCAGATACGTGCTTTGTCCAACATTCTTCATCGACGATAACCAACCTATTCCTATTGCTTTTTATGAAATCTTTTTTACAATTCTGTTGACCAAGTCACTCAATACTTTGTTTGAGCTTTCAATCTAGCATCATTTCCACTTCTTAGAGAAAATGAAATGAAAATTTCATACAGCTTGGTTAAGTTCATTTGCCCCATTCGGCCACAAAAAAAACGTTTAAATTTAGTTTAGTTATCTGACAAACGGACATTTCTTTTCGCTTAACTTAAATATTTAATCTTTCTATCTACTCTATTTATTGTTTCGATGCCAAAAAGAAAAACTGAGAAAAACAGGAAAGCGGATGAAAAACAAGAGCATAAAGTACGCTATGAAATTCAAAATCTTTGTAAATATTAGGCACAGACTCGATCAAAACTAAAATTTGCGAAATGAGTTTGTGAAAAAAAAACTAAAACAAAAATTAAATTTAAAAACCCTGGATTTAAAATGTAATTTTTTTATGTACAGCACAGGACAAACAGTAAATATTGAAGGCAATGTAAAAATGAAACGTACATATGTTTAAGATTGAAGCTTGCTGTACTATTAAGTAATATATAAAGATCTTTAAAGGATAGAAAATAAATTGACGAAATGTTAACGCAAAAAAACAAATAACAAAAAACTATAAAAATCGAATTGGAGAAAAAGGAAAGCAGCGGTGGTAACCCAGTTTCATAAATCAAATGCCAAACGTATAATGTGTGTTGCAGGCAATTGTCAATTAAGTTGGGGGCATGCAACAAGTAACAGCAGCGGCAGTGGCAGAGGCAGAGGCAGCATCAACAACAATGGTGCGCTTGACCCACTTTTCCTTTTTGCCAGTCAACCAAACGGCAAACAATTTCCACCAAGCGACTGGAAAAAGTTGCAACTTTTCATGCAACATACACTCACACACATATACTTGAATAGATGGAAAAGCTGCAACAGGCGCACAAAGTCAAAGTCGACGCCTGCGCTGCGGCTTTATGTTGCTAGTTGCTGGTTGCTTGTTGCCTGTTGCTCGTTGCTTGTTGCTCGTTCGCCAAGTGAAAGTAAAGTGGGACAAATGCAATTATTATTGCATCTAGTAACCGACTTAGAAGTCGTGGCTCGAAACTGCAGTTTGCAGTTGGAAAGTTGCTCTGCCGGCGTCGTCGCTTTTACACAATATTTTATTTAATCAAATTGCAAAGAGAAAATTGCAGCAGGCAGCCAGCCCGCCGGTCGATTGGCGAAAAACTTTCTATTTTTTTGTGTGTCGACTGCAACGTCAGCTGCAGCATTAGATACATATATATATATATATATATATTTGTGCGGATTGTTTTGCATGCGATAAATTAATGAATGTGCCCCAGTTTTTCGGTGCTCTAAGCATTGAGTGACAAACGAAGTTGCCAAGCGGAGCGAATGACAATGCGCCGTTTATTAGATCACTGGGGCACCGCGATCTCGATCTATGAATCTGAATCTCATTCCCAATCACCCAGCCCACAATCGTACAAAAAAAACAAAATAGGCAACTAAATAAATAAATAGAAATGGGTAGAAAGAAAAACGTTAATAGATCAGTTAAGTGCTGCGCTGCGACAGTTAACTGGTTTCTAATTAAGGGGTCTAACGGTATTCGGGTCTCGGCTCAAGGAAAGTCTTAATCCCAGAAGAAGAGGTGCACTTTTTTTAAGTATCCAACTATAAAACTTGTCCAAATGCTATTCAGCTTATTATCTTCACCAGCTAGTTAGCTAGCTAGCTTAAGGGGATTTGTCAGGATTTTCAGCCGGGGCGGCTTGGAGTTGATAGGATTTCTTAGAATTTGATAGCTTGTTTTCATTAGTAAGCGCTGGTTTGTTGGTTTAATTATTGGTTTTATAACTATGTTGGTAACAAGTACTAGTTCTAAAAATGTTCTAATTCATTCCTTTCTTTGATAGCCTTTTAAAATAAAAGCCAACTATTTTTTATGGCTGACAATTTTAAAGATTTAAAAGCATTTTAAAAAGCTCTTTCTAAGGCCAAGATTTTAACATATTTTTTTAGTATTTTTGTGATAAGTTAAAGCTATGAAAGATAAATTTATTGAATATGTCAGACTTTAAAGTTCTATCCGATTGATAACATTTTTTAAACCTTTTATTTTGTAAGTTAATTTGTTAATTATGTTTCTTACAGGGAACTTTGCTTTAAGTAAAGTAAATTAACTCGATATAGATGTTATGATAGGTCTTTTTTCAGTGCATTAGTATATATAAAAAATAATAATAATTAATTAAATTAAATAATTATTAATAATTAACAATGGGAATGTTCTGCAAGTTAGAAAACCAGTCTTATTTCCCCCTTGAAGATCACTCAATAATGACCGATGGCTTTGCCCAAGCTAAGAACGTTAAGAACCCAGGTTTTGCGGTAAGGACCGCTCTGACTCACTCTGGGAATTTAGGGTAGAAAGGCGACCAAGTCGGTGGTTAGTCATTCCTGTGACTAAGTGGACTTCTTGGTCTCGGTATCGGCTCTCACTCCCTTCCTGCAAGTCGTGCAAAATGGAGGACTGCAAAGGTTAGGAAGGGGTTTGCACTGGGACCCTAGACTCACCTAAATTGCAGTTCTGCAGCAGGCGGAATGCATCAGTGGACACAAATACCAATATACTCGTGAATGTAGAGAAAAAACCAGGTAAAAACCCCCCGCAGAAACCAACGACAGTCTCCCTCCGCTCCCCTTGAATGCAACGCAGTGTTGGCCATTTGATTGTCATGACCAACTTTTCACTGCCGCCCCATGTTGCAGCCGCTAATATGCAACAACATGCAACAACTGTTCGCAAATTGCACGACAAAGCGAAAACTGGGAAAATAGTTAAGTAATTTGCAGTGGAAAGCAGTGTGTTGGAGAAATTCGATTTTCTTGCTTTCTGGCTTAGATGTTGCACTGCTGCAGTGCATCATGGCACACATAATGCTGCTGCTGTTGTGGCTGCTGCCACGTTGCTAGTACCATGGTTGCACTTGGAGTCGCCGCGATCCACATCCGTTTGCAGTGCTGTTGCTGTTGCCGCATTAGAAAGTTGCAACTGCAACTGTCATGGGCCGTTTGCTGTAGCTTTTCTTTTTCCCACTCGCCGAATTGGGGCTAACGTGTATGTGTACTGTACTTGTGGTATAGTACAGCGCAAGCCATGCAACAGCATCCCCCTGCCGCACCGCACAACTTGTAATGAGTTTTGACCTCATAAAATCTTTCGCGAATTTTCCTTAGCATTTTCTCTTCTCGCGAAATATTTTTGCATCTCGCCGAGGGAAACTTGAGTAGGATGGAGAAACTTTTTGGCGGAAAATGTTAATAAGCGTTCACCGATTGCAGCTGACAGACATGAAAAGGAAAATTCTTAAACGAAAAGCGATATCTACCATCCGGTAATTGACCCACTAAAATTTTAAACATTTAATAGGCAATTTATTAACCAGATTTTTACTACTCCAATGATGAGTCATTTAATTTTTTAATGACACCAATAAAAGCTATATTTTTATTGGTTTTTCTTATCATTTTATCATAAGATAAAACGATTTTGGCACAGGAAAATTATATTTTTGCTTACAATCACTGATAACTGACCTTCAACAACTCGATAACTGATTTGATTAGTCACTTCTTTTTGCAGTTGATCTTGTGCGATAATGGCTTTCTATGTGGTAACTTCTTATCTTGATATTGTTTATCAAGCCTTTGCCCGAATTCTGGACTTTATTAGAATGAGTCATTGTAGTATTAAGAAAGTTCTATGGTGTTCAAATATGAAGTACACTTCAATATGTGATTTTAATAACTATATAATAGAACAAAGTATAAATTTTTACACATTCAACTAATTTTGGGATTGATTTTCTAAGAATATCTTATTACTTTAGATTTTTTATACCAATTTTATAAAGACAAGAATAGTAATGTTATAAATTACATTACAATTACTCAAACACATTCACCTATTTCATCAGCCGCCTCTCAATTGACCCCAAAAAACCTTTTGACTCTTGACTGCCCCAAGTCCTTAGCCACCTCATTCCCCTTGAATTAGTAAAGGTCCTACAAAGCCTCCTCCAAAATTCTATTTTCATCTATCACATTAATTCTTACGTATCTGCGACTTATTGTAATTTATCTGCGATTAACGGTCTGAGGTCAAGTGGCCATGTGACTTTGACCGAGAGCTCGTGTTTGGCCGATGTCCTGTGACCTCCTCGAGTGCATTAAACTGAGGCCGCCATGTGCCGACGGCCCGCATGGACGACGTGTCAACGGCCGAAATATCCCGAAAAAGCAAGAAATCCTGGCAAAAAATGAGCCTGTGACTGGGCCGAGAGTTCGTCGAACGGCGGCGAATAAGAGTGAGGGAGGCCTTTCGTAATGCCCTCGACCGGAGGACTCGGACGATGAATCCGACGAGGACCAAGGACCGACGTCGGCCGCTGTCATTGCACTGCCCCGCCCAACGGCACCTGCTGACGCTGACTCTGCCACCGACGCCGCCCACTTCCGTCGACAGTGAAAACAGAAAACCGAAAGGTTATTATAACAATAAGGAGCAGCCAATGTCTGGGCCCCCACCACTTAAAATTCTGCACGGGGCGAGTCTAATAACCTTTCCCTTTCACCGAACAAATCCACGCCAGACGACGCCCACACACAGATACATATATCTTTATATATATATATACCAACATATACATGGACCTCGAACGACAGTAAAAGTCATCGCCATCAAGGCTGAGACATCTTCTTCCTGCCGCTCCTGTTTCAGCCTTATGTAAGCTCGGCTGAGGCTAATGAAATTGTCAGGCTCCTGCTGCCAGCTACTATATATATTTGGTAATAAGAAGGTTGATCTATTAAATATATATTTTTTATGAAAGTTTGTTCGATTTCTAAAGGTATTTTTATATAAATTGGAAAAATAACAACTTTTGAATGTAATTTACCAAAAATCAGAAATAAATTCGTTGTCAAAAACCTATTTAAAAAATAATTATAAGAATTAAGTTAGTTTTTCTCAGTGTTAACTGCAAATATTCCGACTTTTTATCCATCTGACTGAAATGTAGAGTGCACAAAAGGGCGAAAAGACTGCACCAGTGAAGCGTAGCGTGCACCTGAGAGAATGAGAACGTGAGCAATAACATCCAGACGGGCAGACAATTATCGGGGGGAGAGCTGGGTTAGCAGATATTAAAAGGGTGTCACAGGCACAGTGGTCATTAATCGAGATTTAATTAAATTGGTATTGCCAATATGGATAACGATTTTTCTTGTATAACAATGACTAATTAACTGAAGAAAATTGGCATGATTACATAAAATGTAATATAATATTATTTATGAATAAAATCCATATTTAAAACTAAATGTGTTAACAACATTCTATCTTTATAATGATACTAAACGGCATTTGTACTAATATTAATTATACGTCTTGAAAAACACGTTGTTATTACTGCTGGGCGGCCTGTTAAGGCTTAACTAATAAATATAATTAAGTACTTAAGTGACAGCATTAATAATGTAAATTGATTATAAAATTGAGGCTTATAATACGTGCTTAAACTATTTATTATTATATAAATCTACAAGTAAATAGTTTTATATATTAATTAATTTAT